CTGGTGAGTTTTAACATCCTTGTAGAAGATAGGGTGAAACTTTTTGGGATAGAAATCGAAGTCACTGATATAAACGATAATACCCCAAAATTTCAAGCGGAAAATCTAGATGTAAAAATTAATGAAAATGTCGCTCCAGGAATGCGTTTTCCTCTCCCGGAAGCTATTGATCCGGATGTGGGCGTGAACTCCCTCCAGAGCTACCAGCTCAGCCCCAATAAGCACTTCTTCCTAGAAGTTCAGAGTCGTGCCAGTGGCGTCAAGTACCCAGAGCTGGTGCTGGAGCGCGCCCTAGACCGCGAGGAAGAGGCGGTTCACCACTTGGTCCTCACCGCTTCCGACGGGGGTGATCCTCCCAGATCTGGCACTGTCCTCATCAGTGTGACTGTCTTCGATGCAAATGACAATGCGCCGGTGTTCACCTTGCCGGAATACCGAGTGAGTGTTCCTGAGAACATGCCTGTGGGCACCCAGCTGCTGACAGTCACCGCCACGGACAGGGATGAAGGACCCAATGGAGAAGTGACTTACGCATTCCGAAAATTACCTGACACACAACTGCTGAAATTCCAGCTTAATAAATACACTGGGGAAATAAAAATATCGGAAAATCTAGACTACGAAGAAACAGATTTCTACGACATAGAAATACAAGCGGAAGATGGAGGAGCTTATCTTGCAACTGCAAAAGTGCTGATTACAGTAGAAGATGTAAACGACAACAGTCCGGAGATAACCGTCACATCTCTGTTTAGTCCAGTGACAGAAGATTCACCTCTGGGAACTGTTACCGCTCTTTTAAATGTACACGATTTAGACTCTGGACATAATGGACAGGTAACCTGTTCTATCTCAGGGACTCTACCATTTAAGTTAGAAAAATCCATTGACACTTACTACAGATTGGTGACACAGAGAGCTCTCGACAGGGAGCTGATATCTGCTTATAACATCACAGTAACGGCTACAGATGGGGGAAGCCCACCTCGATCTACAGAAATCCACTTCACTCTGCAAGTGGCAGACATCAATGACAACCCACCCACCTTCTCACGCATATCCTACTTTACCTATATCCCAGAGAATAACCCCAGGGGTGCCTCCATCTTCTCAGTGACAGCCCTTGACCCAGACAGCAAAGAGAATGCCCGGATTATTTACTCCCTGGCTGAAGACACCGTCCAGGGGGTGCCTCTGTCATCCTACATATCCATCAATTCAGACTCAGGGGTTTTGTATGCACTCCAGTCCTTTGATTATGAACAGTTCCATGATCTGCAGATGCAGGTGACAGCCAGTGACAGTGGAGACCCACCTCTCCATAGCAATGTGTCCCTCAGCCTGTTCGTGCTGGATCAAAATGACAATGCACCTGAGATCCTGTACCCCACCCTCCCAACTGATGGATCCACTGGTGTGGAGCTGGCGCCCCGGTCTGCAGAGCCTGGCTACCTGGTGACCAAGGTGGTGGCAGTGGATAAAGACTCAGGCCAGAACGCCTGGCTGTCCTACCGCCTGCTCAAGGCCAGCGAGCCCGGGCTGTTTATGGTGGGGCTGCACACGGGCGAGGTGCGCACAGCGCGGGCCCTGCTGGACAGAGACGTGCTCAAGCAGAATCTTGTGGTGGCCGTCCAGGACCATGGCCAGCCCCCTCTCTCAGCCACTGTCACACTCACTGTGGCAGTGGCTGACAGCATTCCAGACATCCTGGCCGACCTGGGCAACCTCAAGACCCCCGCTGACCCGGATGACTCAGGTCTCACGCTGTACCTCGTGGTGGCTGTGGCTGTGGTCTCCTGTGTGTTTCTGGCTTTTGTCATTGTGCTCTTGCTGCTCAGGCTGCGTCGCTGGCACTCATCACACTCCCTTCAGGCTACGGGTGGTGGGTTCACAAGTGTGCCCACTTCACACTTTGTGGGCATGGACGGGGGGGGGGCTTTCCTGCAGACCTCT